GGAGAAAAGCCACCAAAATACTTCGTTGGCGACTCTTGGTGGATTTTCAGGTGCCACGAGGCCTCGTGTTTTCAGCCAGATGTCTTAGAATTGCTGCAGAGCACAAGAAACTGGATTTTTGAAATGGTCTTTGGTTTAAACCACCAGCCCAACTGACCAGCTGAAGGTTTTCAACCTCTTGGGTGTTTCCCCCCAAATTATTTATTTTTCAATACATTAACGAAATCAGAGTCCTGTTGAGCCAACCAACACCACCTGGACTCTGCAGTTAAAAAAATGGCGAGATGAGTGACTTGCGGCTAATTGAAGACCGCCCCACCTCTGTTCCTGCTTGTTTCCTAGAAATGTGTGTAGGTCACCAAGCTGCTTTCATAAGAAAGGACGCGAAATTCTTGATTTTGTGCATTTTGACATGATCACCCAGCCTTCTGTGTTCACTGCCTCCCAAAGAACAGAAAATAAGACTTAGCAAACAACGTATTCTTGTATTTTTGGGGGGATAGGGGTAGGGGTGGGGTGGAGTTCAGCCATGTAATATCCTCTTTCCTATAAAATGGAGGCAGCCAAAAATGCCGGTTTTTAATTGGAAGTGGTGAAATCTTAAGGCACATAAAAAGAGGGAAATCATGTGGGGGCTGGACACGTCCAGATGTGATGTCACAAAGGCACCGTCCAATAAGAGATAGTGAGCTTTGTCTAGGCCTGGTTCTCTTGTAACCCCTGCAGGATGTCACATCAGCCAATACTGCAACCAGTTTTGGTCACCATGCTACAAAAAAGATGTTGAGACTTTGGAAAAAATTCAGAGAAGAGCAACTAAGATGATCAAAAGCCCGGAGACCAAAACATATGAAGAATGGCTGCAGGACTTGGGTTTGGCTAGTGACCAGGGGTAGGCAACCTTGGCTCTTTTATGACTCGTGGACTTCAACTCCCAGAATTCCTGAGTCAGCATGGCTCAGCTTGGAAACCTCTCCCTTTCCCCTCAGCATGGCTGGCTCAGGGATTCTGGGAGTTGAAGTCCACGAGTCATAAAAGAGCCAAGGTTGCCTACCCCTGAGCTAGTCTAAAGAAAAGAAGAAATAGGGGTGATTCCAGTATTTGAGGGGCTGCCACAAAGAAGAGGGGGGGTCACGTTATTCTCCAAGGCATCAGAGGGCAGGACAAGAAACAATGGTTGGAAACTGATCAAAGAGAGAAGCAACCTGGAATTAAGGAGAAACTTCCTGACAGGACAACTAACCAGTGGAAGAGCTTTGCCTTCAGAAATCGTGGGTGCTCCATCACTGGATATTTTTAAGGAAGAGACTAGATCAGTGATGGCGAACCTTTTCGAGACCGAGTGCCCAAACTGCAACCCAAAACCCACTTATGTATCGTCGGGTGCCGGGTGGATGTGGCCCATTGGGTGGGCATGGCCCATTGGGTGGGTGTGGCTGCGGTGGTAACAGCAGACTGGGTGGGACTAAAAAGTTCAATCAATTCCAACTTTGTGAGATCTTTTTTTTCCCGTGAGAAGTTGAAATTGACTGATTGATTGAACCTTTTTTTTTTTGTACACGGCGGCGGAGGCCTAAAGCGTAAAGGTTTTATAAAACCCAGCTGAAGGCCTAGGACTGGGGCGACGGCGCGCGTGCCACCTCTGGCACCCGTGCCATAGGTTCGCCACCACTGGACTAGATAGTCACTTGTCTGAAATGGTATAGGTTCTCCTGCTTGAGCAGGGGGCTGGTCTAGAAGACCTCCAAGGTCCCTTCCAGCTCTGTTCTATCTTAGAATTTTGGTTTCAAAAAAAGGGCAAGGAATCATCACTATGAGTGACATCCTGGGGAAATTTTAAGACAGGTCCCTTTATATAAACGTTTCTCCCAGGCTTAGACAAAGCTTACGAATTCAGAGTTGCATTGTGATGGTTTGGAAAAACCAAGGAAGAAACTGCTGGAGAGAGAGAGAGAGAAGACACGAATTGGAATCATGGTTAGGAAAGGGAACTTTGAGACAAGGCATCTATTGGGGAAATGTCTTTCCTCCTTTATAAATGGGGAAAGGTCTTCCATTTGGGACATGTAAGTAGTACCACTACCAAGCCTTTTTTTTGGTCCTTTCCAGGATATTAAAAAAAAACTTTTGAGAATGCAAAGGTGGACCATGTCTTGGTAACGGCAACACCCTCCCCTGTCCACCAGGCGACAACCAAAGAGAAAAGACTATTGTTAATAAGGTCACCGTAGGCAGCAAAATATTAAATAATAGAGGGGGGAGGGAATTGGTAAAAAAAGGAGGGAAAATTAAGAGTAGGAATTGCTCGCGGTTTTGAAATGCCTTTGGAGTAGACCAGGGGTAGGCAACCTTGGCTCTTTTATGACTCGTGGACTTCAACTCCCAGAATTCCTGAGCCAGCATGGCTCAGCTTGGAAACCTCTCCCTTTTCCCTCAGCATGGCTGGCTCAGGAATTCTGGGAGTTGAAGTCCACGAGTCATAAAAGAGCTAAGGCGGCCTACCCCCTGGAGTAGACGTTTGAAATGGAAACAAATTGCTCTGTTTAAGAACAAAATGGGCGCTGGAAGGAAGTGACTGTGAAGGAGAATTCAAAGAAATACTGAAAAATACCGTAAAAGTGTAGGAAGTAGCAGTTCAGACTGGACTGTTTCTCCATTAGAATGGTTTACCTTTCCTGAACATTAGACACAGTTTAAGATGGGCTGTTTTGCGTCCGTTACTTTGAATAAAGTGTTTCTAAAATGCGGTATGGAACAAGAATGGGGCAGCTGTAGAAGAGGGAGACTCAGAAAACTGACAGTTTTATGGATGTTCCCGAAGAGGACAAAAGCTTCGGTGTTACGTTATATCGTTATATCGCCTTGTCTTTCTGCAAAGGAAGAACGATATGCAACTAAAATCAGACTCCCCTTGCCGTGCCCCTTGAATAGGAAAGAAAAATCTCTTTACACTTTGCCAAAATTAAAGAAGTGTAACTTCTTCGTACATTTCTTGTAAGTATGAAAAAATGATAATAAAATATATATCTATACAAAAGTTAAGTGTTGGGTGCTTGAGACCTTGCCCATCGTTTGGAAGAAATTTCATCCAAATTTATTTCAGGAAAGCCAAAGCAGAACTTTTCAAATGCTATTCGGCCCGCTGAGATGATTGCCGCGGTTTTAATATCTTTATAGAGAACTGAATCAGGATTGAAACCTAAATTCAGGCATAAATTTCCTCAGGTTGTCCACTTTCATCTACTGATTATTTTGTTTAAAAACATCTATACTGGTATTCCTCAACGTGTGATGGGAACTGAGCCTGGGATTATGGTTGTAAGTCATCACTGTCATACATTGAGGCATTATACCAGGGGTAGTCAACCTTGGCTCTTTTATGACTCCTGGACTTCAACTCCCAGAATTCCTGAGCCAGCTTAGCTGGCTCAGGAATTCTGGGAGTTGAAGTCCACGAGTCATAAAAGAGCCAAGGTTGACTACCCCTGCATTATACGATTAATTCTAAAATTACGACTTTTTACAATAGTTTTTTCCTCAAAGTTTATTCAGCAAAAGTTAAAATAGAAAATACCAACATATTTTTCAAAAAAAGGTGGACAAAAGAAGAAAAAAAACACAACAAACATTAAAGTGTCTTTAAAAAAAGACTAACACATATACACATGTCTTCCCTAGTTGAGTGGTGATTAATATTATACGTTAGTTTCCCATCAGTTGTGAAACAGGCCAAACGAATTTTAAACTACTAAACTATTAAATCTGTTTATGATTCTTATGACAGTTGTTAAGCAATTGCCATGGCTATCGCGCAAATCTATTTTCTCCTATGGTGGTTTGCAGGTTTTTTGCCAAAAACCAGAAATAAAACACCAGAAACCAGCAGAAAATGTTGCAAATTATGGTTATAATAATAATAATAATAATACTAATAATAAAGTTGGAAGGGACCTTGGAGGTCATCTAGTCCAACCCCCTGCTCAGGCAGGAAACCCTACACCATTTCGGACAGATGGCTGTCCAGTCTCTTCTTAAATGGACATTGCAAACAGCCATAAAGGTGAGCCAGTTGCCAGGCATGCAAAATGCAATCATGTGGACTGCAGGACGTGTGTTGTAACCATGGTAACTCCGAAAATGGATCGTAAGTAGCTCTGGGGAGGTCCATTGTAACTTTGAACAGTTTTTAAGCCACCAGTTGTAAGTCGAGGGCTATTTGCACAGCTGCCCATTTTATATCAAATTTTGGGTAGTTCCCAGCCAACAATTATTCTAATAAACCATTATTGCCTGGATTCACACAACATATTGAGCCATGATGCTGGTTTACACCTAAAGCGGCTGGATTTCGCAGTTACGCTAACATCAACTTAAAACCAAGGCTAACACAATAGGTGTTAGCCTGCTGTGTGAAAACAGACATAGAATGTGTTTGACTCTCTGAAAAGGGTGGAATAAGAAGAGTCATTCAAGCATATCCTCTTAGGGAAAAAATGAAGAGGAATGGAGCAATAAAAAAACGATAAACTTCCTCAAAATATTGTTTCTCCATCTGCTTACATAGGATCCTATTGAATGAATCCATTTTCCAGGGTAGTACAATTTAGGAGCACATGTGTGACCAAAATGAGTGGTGAAGTTGTTGGAGAGATAGGAAAAGGAACATTTCAAACACAAATCCACATTTCTCTAAAGTACAGTGATGTTTTATTGTTAATAAAACATGGTTTTCAGGTAAGTAATCTCTGTTGATTTCTAATACTTTAGCTTGACAAATTTTACAGGCCTTTTAATACAAATATTTCTATACAAAACACCTAGCTATCTATATGCAAAGTGTTGTTGTTTTTTTTACAGTTCCTTAATTTTCACTCACATTGATATCTGTATCAATGTGTCAAGCTAAAGTTGAAACTCTGCAGATAAATATTGAGCTGGAAGAGAGTAAGAGACAGACGAGCTTGGCATTTTTCTCTCCCATCAAAATTATCTGAGGGTATCTAAACTTTGTCTCCAACGTGGGTCCACATGTGGGCCACAAGATTTGAGCTGGATCCGAAACCTTTCCCACAATCAACACATGAATAAGGCCTCTCCCCTGTGTGGTGTCTCTGGTGGACGGTGAGATGTGATTTTTGTTTGAAGCGTTTCCCACATTCGGAGCACTGAAAGGGCCTGACTCCCGTGTGGGTCCGCTCGTGGGTGTTGAGGTTGGAGCTCACACTGAAGCCTTTGCCGCAGTGCGCGCACACGTAGGGTTTTTCGCCCGTGTGAGTCCGCCGGTGGCTGGTCAGGTGCTGCTTCTGGGTGAAACTCTTCCCACAGTCCAGGCATTTGTAGGGTTTGTGGCCGGTGTGGATTCGCACGTGCGCAGCGAGGTCCGAAGTCACACAGAAGTTTTTGCCACATTCCGGGCACTTAAACAGATTCTCTCCGGTGTGGATCCGTTGGTGCCGGATGAGGTGTGACTTCCCACTGAAGGTCTTTCCACAATCGGAACAGATCAAGGCTTTCACGCGCATGTCGACGCACTGGTGCCCGTTGAGGTGCGCGCTTGAGCTGAAGATCTTCCCACACTCGAAGCACCGGGAGGGCTGCTCGCCCGAGCGCACCCTCTGGTGGGCCAGGAGCTGGGAGTTCTGGCAAAACGATGTCCCGCGTTTTTCGACAGCTGGGGATCGACCAGCCCTGCACGGGTCCGAGTGGGTGCTGATGCTCTTCTCATTACACAGGTCCTGAGGCAGCTTTTCTCCCCTGTGGCTTCTGAGGTGACTGGTGAAACCGCTGGGGTGGCGGAAGCGTTTCCCGCACTCGGAGCATCTGTAAGGCTTCTCTCTGGAGTGGCTTTTGGAAGGAAGAGCAAAGACCGAGATCTCACCACCCCTTTGACCGCCATACGAGCAGGAATGGAGTTTTCCGGTCGTCTGGATGAGGCCTCCGTGAGTTACGGGGCTGGATCTCAAAATATACCCGAAACCTTTGTGTCCTTTTTTTCCTGGCTGCTTTCTTTTTGGGGAAATAGAATCTGGGGTCCAGCTCAAGGACTTCCCATCCAGAGGATGTAAATCGGGTTCTTTGCCCCTGCGGACTCCGTCTTTTCTTTTACAGGAATCGTTTTTCCAAGAAGGAATGGCATCGCCTTCTCGTTGCTTCGCTTCAGGCTGACTTACGGAAATCTCTCCGCTGGGCTGACACGAGGAACGGTTTTCAGCAGCCAGTCCTTGGCATTCGACGGGATCAGCCAGTTCCAGGTGTGGGTTCCTTTCCCCCACATCCCGAAGGCACCCAGCTGGAAAATATACAACAAAGCATCACACTCGGAAAGCAAAAAAAATAATAACAATAACAGCAAGAAATTGAGAAGACAAGAGTAATTGCTGAATTGTTTACAGCAGGGGTTCCCAACCGGGGGCGCGAGACTATATTCCAGGGGGTGCAAAAACTTGCGTTTTTCAAAATTATAGTGTATATTTTGTATATAGTGCATAATTGCTGTTATTTCCAACTTTTGTAAGGGGTGCGAGAATATATCAGAAGGGTTCTAGGGGTACGGGGTATAGAAAAGGTTGAGAGCCACTGGTTTAGAGGAAGTCCTTGATTTAAGATCAGTCGCTTAATGACGATTTGCAGTTACGATAGTCCTCCACAGAGTTACTTGCAACCCAACATAAAGTTCCAATGGCTGCCCCCCCCCCCAGTCACGTTTGCTGTGTCCTGCAGTCACCTGACCACAATTTACAATATTTGGGGTTTTTTTTTTGCCGGAAACCAGTGTTTATTTCCAGTTTATGGCAAAAGACACCCACTGTGGCCAATGGATTTGCTTAACAACCGCCAAAAGAGGTCATAAAACCGGGCCCATCTGTCAGATGCCCATCGTCGCTTTCTTTGAGCTCGCTAGCAACTGCCATCACCAAAGGGGAGGGCGCATTTGGGAGAGGAGGAGGAGTGCTGGAGGTGTGAAAGGACGCTGTGGGAATTTGGCGGAGTACGGACACTAATGGGAACCAGACCGGATGCCGAACCGAGCCATCTGCCTGCCTTCAAGGACGCCGGCCCTGAGAAAGGAACGGATGGCGGCGTCTGAGGCCCCGCTTTCCCAAAACATCAGAACAGACCCTGATTGGACGACTCCCACAGGGGGGAGGGTTTTGGACATTGGGAATCGCTTTCAGTATATGACTTTCGCCCGGTTTTTCTCCAGAGCTTGCCCCGCTCACGCTACACTCACCATCTCTAGTAAAAGTACCTTTTCTCTAACACCTATGGAGTCAGGGGCCGTTCTTTCTTAGGGAGCGGGCTGTGGCCAGTCTGACAGGCCCAGTTGTTGCTTAACGAATGCCGTTACTGTGACTGTCATTCCAGGTTTAATTACCATCTTAAGTCAAGGACTACAGGTAATCCTCAAGTTACGACAGTTCACTTAGGGACAGGCACCGGGCCTGTGGATACGCGCCTTGCGAAGATCGAGCGAGCCTTCGGTCTCTTGGCCTTCAGTGCGTTCGCATGGAACAGAGGCCTAAAACAGGGCTTTTCAACCAGTGGTACGGGTACCACCTGTGGTACATTTGCATCTGGCAGGTGGTAGGCGACCATCCTAGAAAAGTAGCAGGGGAGGGGAATGAGCTGAACCGGTGGTAGCATCGCACAAGCCTGAGCGAGAGATGGCTGGAGCTGCAGGGCTGTCAGGGCTCAGCAGAAGCGCCAGGATCAGTGCCGCTTTCCAGCTGATCGGTGCTTCTTCGGGGCTGTCAGGGCTCAGTGGAAGCGCCAGGATCAGTGTCAGGCTCCAGCTGGAGCTCGGCGCTGATCCTGGTGCTTCTGCTGAGCTCAGAAGAAGCACCAATCAGCTGGAAAGCAGCACTGATTCTGGGGCTTCTGCTGAACCCAGAAGAAGCGCCGATCAGCTGGAATGTTGCAGCATCTCCAGGGTCTTGTGATTTACATTCAGATGCTTGGCAACTGATTCATATTTATGACGGTCACAGTGTCCCAGGGTCATGTGAAGTGACCAAAACCTGCTGCAACCACCCAGCAGACGGGGGGGAATAAAAACCAAATACCCCCACACACCCCACCCCCACTGCCAATCCTCAACAGAAATGCTCACAACAATGAAAACCTCGGACAGGAGGAAGAGCGCCGACGGGCGCTGTCTTGCTCGGCTGTGGCTTGGGGGGCACTTTTTCAGTGCCATTGTAACTTCGAACAGTCACTAAGCGAACTGTTGTAAGTCGAGGACTACCTGTACTTTATCACTTTTTTCCTTTTTTTTTTTTTTGTCAAGTTTTTGACACCTTGCTAGGCGACTGGTGGTACTCAGATGTTGCCATATCCTAAAAGTGGTACAATGGGTGAAAAGGTTGAAAAGCCTTGGCCTAAAGTACCGTGACATCAGACGAGATCAGTAGCGTGAGACCTCGCGCTACTGATCTCGTGTGATCTCGCGGTACTTTAGGCCTCTGTTCTGTGCAAACGGAGGCCTGGACGAGTTTTGCGGCAAAAGGCTTGGCAAACAGAGGGAAGGCCTGAAGCACCGAAGCCTTCCCTCCGTTTGCAGAGCCTTTTGCCATCTTTGCAAAAAAGCCTTCGCCACCAAGAACGGAGGCCGGGAGGGGCACGGGCGTCCCTCCGGGCCTCCGTTCACGGCAGCAAAGGCCTTTCCTCAATTTACATGATTCATTCCTACGAATCCTCGGGTTACAAATGTAATTGACAGGCTCCGTTACATTCGTAACTCGAGGATTACCTGTCCCTGTAATTTGTAAGACTGCAGAACTGCCCTTGAGATGAAAAAGTGGGATATTACAGTGCTGTGTATAGCCGTTTGCAAAGAACAACCATGGATGCTGGTGGCACAAAGATATGACTAATAAATAAAGAAAACCGCCAGCAAGATTAGCAAAACTGTTTAAAAAACATGTCAGATAGATGTTGGAAATGCAAACATAAGTCAGGTACTTATTACCATGTTTGGTGGACATGTGCCAAAGCAAAGAGTTATTGGAAAAAAAATACATATGTGGCTAGAAAAGATGTTGGGAAAATATGTAGATTTTAAACCTGAACTTTTTTTATTAGGTATAATGCCAGAAAAGACTGATAAACAAAGCACATATTTGATTTTACATGTAAAACAGCGGAAGAATTATATTCGCGCAGTATTGGAAAAATGAAGAAATACCATCAGAGGAAGGAATAATTAAAAAAAAAATACTAGAATGTGCGGAGATGGATAGACCGACTTTGAGGTTGAAAGAAAAAAAAGAAACGGAATATTATCAGAGTACAGAGTACAGAAAGAGTACAGAGAAAAGCAACAAAGATGATGAGGGGACTGGAGGCTAAAACATATGAGGAACGGTTGCTGGAATTGGGTATGTCTAGTTTAATGAAGAGAAGGACGAGGGGGGACATGATAGCAGTGTTCCAATATCTCGGGGGCTGCCACAAAGAAGAAGGAGTCAAGCTATTCTCCAAGGCGCCTGAAGGCAGGACAAGAAGCAATGGGTGGAAAATAATCAAGGAGAGAAGCAACCTAGAACTAAGGAGAAACTTCCTGACAGTTAGAACAATTAACCAGTGGAACAACCTGCCTCCAGAAACGGTGAATGCTCCAACACTGGAGGTTTTTAAGAAGAGACTGGACAGCCATTTGTCTGAAATGGTATAGGGTTTCCTGCCTGAGCAGGGGGTTGGACTAGATGACCTCCAAGGTCCCTTCCAACTTTATTATTATAATTATTATTATCAAACTTGGGACTTATTTTATCAATGGCTAGAGGAAAGAATAAAGGATTAGGAATTAAATTTGTATTAGTGAATGTACACTCAGACAGCACGTTTGTTGAACAAGTACTATTGAATGTATAAAAAAAAATCAATAAAAATCTTATATATATAAAAAAAAGAATGTGAACAATACAAAAAAACAAAGTGCTCACCCATAATGCCAACGTCCCTGGTATCTTCTTGTGTGGGCTGGTTGTACAATTGTTGGGGACTGGTATCCAGCAGGTCACTTGGTCCTTCTGCGAGATTACTGGATACTTCAGAGAACAGCTTCTGGAAACAAAAGGATCCTGATCAATCAGGTCGAAGGGACGGGGGTAGAACGGTAAGCAGGGAGGCTGTTATAAGCTTTCCAGCTTCAGTCTTAATTTAGGATCAGATTATAGGATCTCCCCAGAGCCAGGCTGTGGCTGTGTCCGGAAGGCACCTCTTGATCCAGCCAAAGGTCCAGCCCAGGGGTAGGCAACCTTGGCTCTTTTATGACTGGTGGACTTCAACTCCCAGAATTCCTGAGCCAGCCACGCTGAGGGGAAAGGGAGAGGTTTCCAAGCTGAGCCATGTTGGCTCAGGAATTCTGGGAGTTGAAGTCCACAAGCCATAAAAGAGCCAAGGTGGCCTACCCCTGGTCCAGCCCATATTGCAGGGGTTCCTAAACCCCAAGCCATGGCCTGTTCAGAACTGGGCCAAAGAAAGGCAGGCCAGCGTGCAGGCGCAGGTGCGTCTCAACTTGCGTGAGTGGCAGGCCAGTGTGTGCACCCGCATGCCCATGTAGCTCAACTTGCAGTCGAACTATGTGTGCATGTGTGTGTGCATGTGTGTGTGCATGTGTGTGTGCACAGGCCCGCCGCTTGCGTGGCCCAGTTCTCTTCTCCACTCCACCACCACCCCCAGCCAGGCCGCCAAGCCACAAAGGTTGGGGATCGTTGCCATATTGTATTCAGAAGTGCAACAATATTTGGAAATGACCTTGGCGCAGGGGTAGGCAACCTTGGCTCTTTTATGACTGGTGGACTTCAACTCCCAGAATTCCTGAGCCAGCCATGCTGAGGGGAAAGGGAGAGGTTTCCAAGCTGAGCCATGCTGGCTCAGGAATTCTGGGAGTTGAAGTCCACGAGTCATAAAAGAGCCGAGGTGGCCTATCCCTGATCTTGGGGGACTGGGTGAACAAAATCATGTCCAGGGTCAGATAAGAGGGAGCCTAGCCTGCACCTGCAAAATGGGTGGGGCAAGAGGTTCGGAAGGGACCCTCCATAGTTTGTCAGGCTGTAAAGGAGACTGCACAAAAATTGTACTTTCAGACTTGAAATTTTTTTATTAATTTAAAGTAGTGTTAGTTTATCCAGGTGGCGCTTCCTGTCTGGCCTGCCTCTTAAAGCTGACAGGAAGGTTGCAGGCTTTATCCCTTAGTAAGGAAAAGAGGAAAGATGCATTGCCTGTCGGGTGCACCATTTTTGCCGAGTCTCCTTGGTTTTTGTACAGCATACAGGTGGTCCTCGACTTACAACAGTTCATTCAGTGACCGTTCCAAGTTACAACGGTACTGAAAAAAGGGACTTATGATCATTTTTCACACTCAACAACCGTTGCAGCATTCCCCCCGTAATCACCTGATCAAAATTCAGACCCTTGGCAACTGACTCATATTTATGACGGTCGCAGTGTCCTGGTGTCCCCTGATCCCCTTTTCTAAGCTTCTGACAAGCAAAATCAATGGGGAAGCCAGATTCACTTAACAGCCGTGTTACTAACTTAACAACCGCAGGGATTCACTTAACAAGTGTGGCAAGAAAGGTTGTAAAATGGGGCAAAACAGCTGTCTTGGCTTACTAACAGGAATACTGTGGTCGTAAGTCAAGGATTGCCTGTAGTAAGGATAGAGCTTCTCAGTGGCAGGCCAGGGTTAAACAGAGGACCTGTGGTTTACAGGTAAATGGAATTCACACAAAATAACAGAAACCAAAACCTCAAGAGGACTAGGAGCATGGGAAGCAGGAGTAGGCCATACTCCATCAATACATCTTCTACCAGCGCCTATTATTCTATCAGGCCTCCAAAAGTCACAAGCAGGGGCTTCTTTTCGTTCCCCTCCCTGCCTGCCAGGGGCTGAACCCAGGACCCTCGGCATTCAATACGAGATCTGCATCCCGAGGCTGACTCCTCCCCACTCCTTCAAACCGCCCCTCAAAGGCAGCCTGATGTCCTCACCTGCTCCGGCCTCCGTAAGAACTCCTCGGCTAAGGCCACTGCTTGGAGGCAGGTGTCCGGCTCTTCGCCTCTCACCCAGCCCTGGAGCCCCGGGGGCAGGATGGCCACAAACTGCTCCAGCACCACCAGCTCCAGCATCTGCTCCTTGGTACTCCTCTCGGGCTGCAACCAACGCCTGCAAAGTCCGGAGAGTCGCTGGTAAACCTCTTTCGGTTCCTTGGCCTCGTGGAAGAGGAATCCGCGGAAAAGCTGGCGCTGTCCTTCCGGGCCGAGGACCTCCTCCTTCACCGGCCTGGATGCTCCACAGGATCCAAGGCTCTCGTGCACCTGTGGTGTTGCAGACCCGGGATCAGGAGACACCAGTTGGATCTCTCTTGGAGGGCTGGGCAGAACCAGCATCCTTTGCTCTCTTGAAGACCACTGACCACCAGCAGGCGGTTCCCCAACAGGAGAGTTCGCAGCATCCCTCTCTGTTTGTGGGCATTCATGCGGCAGGAGAAAAACCTGCTCCACTTTGATAAGTCCCAGGGGACTCCAGCAGTTGCGCGTCTCCTCAGCCGGTTCCTCTTTGACCCAGCGTTGTGTGCTAGCATCCTGGGACGAGGGACCCAAAGGGACTTCCATCTCTTCCGCAGCCATTGCCGCCTACTAAGAAATCAAGGACAGAAAAAGTCATTTCCTCAAATCTGGCAATGTTACATTTCGGAGCCCAGTCACCCAGAAGAGTTCGGGATTCACCATTCAACCTCAGAGCAGCGTCGTTCTGTGTGACAACAAGGCCCAGCCTCATAACCAAAATTTTTAAGGGATGTGGTCATATAGCTCCAAACAACTGACCACACTGGCACACGAGACGCTTATGAGCTAAGGAG